ATACGTGTAGTGAAATATTTAAGGTTAAAACGTCTGTTACATATTCATACACGATTTTGGCAATGGCCAAGGCATGGAAACAACAACGATAAGCACAAACCATATGCTTTGGCAATTGTTTGCGGAAAAAATTGCTTTGGCAATTTAAATGTGGCTCGTGGCATATGCCAAATTGGCATCACCAATGCCAATTGTCCGGTTTTTCTTCGTTTGCTGCCCGTCGCTTCTCTCCCTCTTTCTCTTTTTCCCTAAATGTGTGCCGCACACAAGTTGAAAAACGATTATGGCTTAACTAACACCGTACGTCACAGCTTAACACAGACATTTTGACAAATCAAAATCACCATCTACGCCAAAGCAGAGCCTGAAATTTGATTCGACTGACGACCATTTACTTGATTTGAACGATTTTGCGTCTCAATTTAGTTTCTGGGCGAATGCACGAACGAACCAACGAAAAAAAAAACTACCCCCGACAGAAGAACAAAAAAGTAGTCGAGAAATCAACGCCACATTCACAATAAGCCAGAACTGACTTACTAGTCATGAGTGAGCAGAATTCTCACAAAACAAAATCACACACACACACAAATAAAATGGGCAACTAACCAAAGATTGCACGAATAAATGGGGAATATAAATTGAGACGATCGATGATAAGAGCTACACTATCGAAGGCGACACACACACACAACACCGCAAGGAATTTGAGGAAATGAAGATAAAAGTTGACGATATAATCGACAATAAAAACAATATCGGAAAAAAGTGTTTACCGTGCAACTTTTTCCCCACGCTATGTGTGTGTGTGTGTGTGTTTTTTGGTGTGGCTCAAAGCTCAAGACGACAGACTGAGATCTAGCGAACGAGCGAGAGAGAGAGAGAGAGAGAGAGAGAGAGAGAGAGAGAGAGAGAGAGTGAGAAATCGCAACGAATGTGTGCGATGATAATAAAGTGTGATAAAGGGCGGCTTTAATGACAACAAGAAAACGTGCATGCTGCTTCATATATGCCATTGTCCATAAACCTATTGACAACTATTAGAACAACTACCAAACCACAAATACAACGCATTATTCACACGCCGCTCCCATCACTCTCTCACTCTCTCTGACTCTCACTCTCTCCATCCTTCTCTCATTCCATTTCTTTTACTCTCTTTTTACTAATACCCGAAAGGACTCGAACTGAACTTTATGTTGCCAATTTTCGTTTTTTTCTTCTTTCTCTTCGTTCGTTTGTTCGTTTGATTCAGTCTTTTGTCTAGTTCGTTCAGACAGCGAAAAAAATGCAATTTTTCACCACCACATCATATGACTTACGCAAAACCATCAGCCTTCTGGTTTTTATGTCTTTTTCCGTCGGAATGGGGTTTTTGGCTTGCAAACAATGCCATTTTGGGGTTTAAGACCGACCAATTTCGAACCAATTTCCAATTGCTGCATCTTTCAATGAATCGTCCAACAACTTGTTCAATTTGCAGTCGCAGTTTTGGTGAAACCAAATGACGGCGACAACGACAACGACAACAAGGGCAAATTCGAACACTGTTGAGTAAATGTTGACTAAAAACATTTTCGATCCATTTCACTTACATCAACACACCAATTATGTTGGAAAATTTAATAAATTTATCTAAAGATTCTACTTATTTGAGGTGTAGGGAATGGATAATATTAATGGTGTTTTTCTTTCCTTACGCGCGCTCTCTCTCTCCCTCTCACTCTCTCTCTCCCACTCCCGCAGATTGCAATTTCCCATTTGCAGAAGTTGTGAAAACAAATTTTCCTCATCATATTCGCGTAAATGTTTTTATTAAATTTTCCGCCGTCTTTAAGATTTATACCGCATTATGCATTTTTTACAACTTCTTTCAAGCCAACGGGATAGCTGCTGATATTGTGTGTATGTGTGTGTGTGTGTGTGTTTACGTTGATTGCGGCGGATGTGATGCAACAGTGTTTTGCACGAGAATCGAGCAACTAGTTTAAAGTATTTTTCACCACTACTATATTCATGAAGAGAGCGCGAGAAAAACAAAGGCCAAATCTATTAAGACATTGTACGGCAACACCAAAAGATATCGTGCTTTTGAAAAACCTTGTGACAATTTCTACATTATATATATGGGCAAAAACACTGGAGGGTTACATTCGCACGATTTTTCAAAATATTCATGCTTATATCTCTTCTGTAAACCCAGAAACCACTTGAAGTATTATGCTGAGGCAAATCTAGACCACAAAAGGAACATTTCATACCAACAAACCTTTCCCATATTTCTCACACCTATAAGGATATAGCCGTTTTTTTGTTGGACTGGAAGGTTACAATTTTGGCGATATGTTTGGAGTTTATCTTACATATATCTAAAATCCAGTTCCTCCAGCAGAGCATCCTTGTACTCCAAGGTTCTGTTCGCTGTCTGAAGGATCAAAGAAACGAACGAAACCATATTTACCCCATAAAAATCAATTCGAGTCGCTCTACGATCCAAAATATATGGACTGGAAGGTTACAGAAAAAAGACTGCCTCGTTACACAAAATTCCTCGGGCTAAATAAACCAAATATCAAATTCAAATTAGATTCAAATCAGTCGATAACAAATAGAAATACGAGAATTTATCATGATTTTTGGTTTCGAATCGATTTGTAATAGAAATTTGTCATAAACGATTCCGATTTCTCTGATCAAAAAAAGGACTGGAAGGTTACACATAAAAGACTGGATCGTTACAAAGTACATCGACGGTTGAAATAAATGCAATAATACACTCGAAATTGATTCAAATTTGTAGAAAAAGAATAGAAGTGTTATCATTCTTTGTGGTGTTCAGTTCTGGATTGGTTTACAAAGAAAAAACCTGTCATCAAATGATCTCGATTTTTTCAATGTAACAAAGACTGGCTCGTTACACATGTCTGAAGGCTCGTATAAGTGTTTTAGTCAAATAAAGTAACTAATATTTTTTATTTTCCAGAAAATAGGCAGAAAGTTCTTAAAAAAAACTAATATAGCGTCATTATTCTTGATAAAGGTATACATGAAAAAAACTTTCGGGAATTTTAGACTGGAAGGTTACATTCCAATTTGCGGCACCTTTCAGAGCCTTCAAATGCACATGAATAAGATGTATTCATTGCAAAATTTGGCCAAAATAGCACGATTACATCGTAATCTAATAAATAAAATTGAATAATAGCAATGATAACGAAAATTATATATTTAAATTGACTTTTTGTTCGGTTGTGTATTTTCGCTCATTTTGACACAAAACGAGGCACAAGCACAACTACGTTGAAATGGGCCACTATAAACGCCTACATTCATATGAAAATGGTATTGGCCGATACTTTAGGATCACTTTTAAAGAAAAAAGACCACAGTACCGCGATATTTGAATTAAAAAAAAATTCTAACCATTCCCGATTTTCGTGTTTTTGCTCATATGTGTGTGTGTGTGTGTGGTCATATTTGTTCTTGTGTATGTTTTTAATGAATGAAAAAGTTTTCATAACACCGGATTTCATGATACAAAATGTCACTTAATGACAGTATAATAGTGAGTATAATAAGCAAAAGTCATACATTTTGCAATTTGGTATCATGCGGATGCATATCGAAAGCATGTTACTAAAATGGTAGTGTAATTGCCATTGTTAGACTAAATGCCACTAATTAAATTGTAATATAAATTATGAGATATGCATTGAACTCCGGTCAAAAGATTGATAACCACAGTAATTGTAACATGTAACAATATGTGGATTGTGTGATGATTGTAAATATATTCATAAAAAATCGATTTTTTTTCATCTCCTTCCTGTATCCTTTTCAATTGTATAATCTTCGGCATATCGAATCAAAGCTCAGAACAATGGCAACGAAATCAATATCCCATCGGATTCGATCTCAGATTTGAAATATAATCTCTTTTCCTTTTGGTTTGATTCCAGTGAAAGGATTAGTGTTAATTTGTTTTACGTTTGCACGAAAGAAAATGAGATTGAATAATCTCACCCAGATTTTTCGACCGAAATACGAACACATTTTAACTCCAATTTCACTGGGAAATCACAACTTTTCGACTGTTCATTTCTTATCATTTTACCTTGGATAGTGTCCCATGATAGCGAACAACTTTTGCTGACTAGTTTTTTTTCCTTTCGTCGCTCTTTTTCAAGTAAGTCACTTCTCAACACGGCGGAAATTGGTCCAATTTTCTGCTATCACATTTCGCGCAAAAAGTGAAAAGTTCTGTGCACGACTCTTGAGAACTAACCATAAAGTGGGTATAGTGTATTTGTGTGTGTGTGTGTGTGTGTGTGTATGTGTGCACGAGCTTCAAAAGACTATACCGATAGTTTTGCTCATTCATTATTTCTTTGATGTTGAGACCGACGGACACGGATGTTTTGTACGAAAAATTTACTATAAACATGGTCACTCGCTTAAATGGTGACTATTTATTCAGCATAATTGATGGGCAACGCACACAACGGTTTCAGTGGCAAAATCATCGGGTTTCATTGATGCCGACGCGCACATCAATCGAACGATCCTTTAATTAGAAGCCGTAATGAAAAGGTGGCGCATATCAATAATCGATTTGAGTATACATTTTCATCGTCGGTTGAGTGCACCATTTTAGTTTTAGCCTGAAAAACAAACAGCGGCACAGAAGAAAAAATAGAACGACAACGGGTGTCATTAGCTTGAAATTAGTGTTTTTGAGAAATTCGTCTAGTATTTTTTTGTACTTTCATGGAATTTTTTTCGTTCTAATTTTCAAGAACATATCGTTTTTAGGTCAATTCATTCTTCGAATTAACACGAACTATAAATGGCTGACGATGGCCATTGTTTTGGTCAGTCGAACACCAAATGTTATCCTGTTTGGATCATATTTTCATTCCCAATTGTAAATTTGTCAAAAGGAAAAACAAAAAAAAAACAAAAAATTAAACCAAACAAAAACAATTCTGCGGTTTGAAAAAATGTCTTTGTTCAATCCGTTGCCAAATGACAGTCATGACATGTTTGCATTTCCATCGCAATGTTTTATGTTGAAATTTAATGGTGCGTGGCCGCTGAAGCATGACAATGATTCGCGAAATATTGTCGATCGTTTGTATTTGTGTTGGGCATACGCTCTCATCATTTTAATTGCATTAACGTGTTATGCGCAAGCATCGTTTTTAATTGCTTCATGGGGTGATATCCTAATCGTCACGGAATGTGGCTGTACTGTATTCATGGGCCTACATAATCTGTTGCGATTAATTCATTTGAGCTTGAATCGAAGCTCGCTTAAGAGATTAATTGCCACTTTTGTGAAGGACATTTGGATTTCAAAGTAAGTCATTCCGAGTGTCTGTATTTGAAATTTATTGTAATAATTCTTAATCATTTCAATTCATTCGAAAATACCATTTAATATCCCTAGGTCAACACATCCCACGATTTCGGCAGAGTGCAATGCCGAAATGTCTATTCTGCGTTATATTTCATCGCTGCAATTTGTTTTGATATGTATGTACATTTTGTTGCCGTTGTTTGAACTGTACGGTTTGGAGGATGGTGCTGAAAAACCATATCCCTACCGAATGCTGTTTCCGTACAATGCAAATCCACCGTTGGCCTATTCAATTACATATTTTCTAACGTCTTTGGCGGGTTTCGGTGTTGTTACCAATCTCTTCTCGGAGGACTCTCTCTTTGGTTTCTTCACAACGCACACATGTGGCCGATTTCGTTTGCTACACGAACGCATCGCAATTCTTATGCGAAGTGGCCAGGAACGCGCACTGGAAAAACATCCACATTTAATGGCACAAAATTGGTCGCAGATTCGGAATGCGGTCATTCAACGGGAATATCGTGAGCATTTGATTCGGATCATTAATGATCATCGAACATTGATAAGGTACAAAATGACTTAAATCGCATTTCAATTTCATTTCAAGTTTTGACATTCAACTTTTATACTTTGAACGTAGTTTTCTTAATAGAAAGCGATTAGCGTCGTTTTATTAGTGCAAACTGCATTTTACCGTGGTTTTCCGTTCTCTTTTTCTTTTTTTGCAGTTTTTTCGAGGAGTTGCACGACTTCTTCAGTCCCATTCTGCTCATAAACTATATAATTAGTTCGTTGCTTATTTGCATGGTTGGACTGCAAATCGTTGCGGTAAGCATATTTCACGTGCACCTCTATATATCTCGCTTACACATTCACACAGCTCTGAATACTTCACATCTTCACAATTCTATTTAAATTTAAATGTAACGCATTTCTTCTGCTAAGAGTGTATGTGTGTGTGTGTGCGTTTATTTTTCGCTTACTCGTTACACTCGCATTTCATCATTTTTGCCCATTTTGCTGCACTTGGTATTCGCATGACGCTCATAAAAAAACGTTGACCCGGGGATATTAATTATGTTCACGTGCTTTTTTAATTCTCTTTTTTCTCTCTTTTCCTCTCAATCTGTGTCACGCTGTCCTTGCTCTGTCTCAATGGGGTAAAAAATGATGCTGTTGGTGGACGATGATGATGATGGGCGAAAAAAAAACTCGCCAACTAAATGGACAACTCTAGGTTGAGTTGACTATTGCCGATTTACTCAAACTTGTCGTGTACATCGTATCGGCATTATCGCAGCTCTTCATACTGTGTTGGAAGGGAAACGACATAATATTGCATGTATGCAAAGAAGAAAAAAAAAGTGTCCATCCCGTTTATTTTGTGAAATTCAGTGTCTCTCTTTCATGTGCTCATTGAAAACGAAACTGAAAAATGGTGGCGATCCATTTGAATGCGTGTGTGTGTGTGTGTGTGTATGGAAGAGAGACCATTTGTATCTCATTTACCATAATATGAAAATGACGGGCAAAAAACCCCGTTTGTTTCTTTTGTTATTTTTTTTCTCTCATAATCATCTCATTTTTCCTGGACAGAGTGTACAGACGGCAGATTCTCTATATTCGTGTGATTGGCAAGGGAAAAGTAGCGATGAGAACTCAGATAGGTATGGCAAACAGTATGCAAAACCAACACGCTTCGATTTCCCATGCGGTGTGGAAGTCATGAAAAGCATCAAATTTACCATAAAACGCGCACAAAAGCCGCTGACTTTGATGGCAATGAAATTTTCCGCACTGGCCTTACACACATTCACCAGAGTAAGTCTCAATTATCGTCTCTATCTCAACTATTTCATTTTTTTTTATTCGGTTCGACTCTTTCAAAATTTCCCTTTTCCTCGCATGACCGAGCTGTAGCGCGTTACTGCATTTCGTTGCACTTCGGTCGCGAAATATTTCACACACTTTTTTTCTTTCTCCTAGACTGTTGCTCTTTTTCCCTGAAAATGATGCAATTTTCTTACACTTTATTCGCTTTAACTTTTCTAGATTTTAAGTTCATCGATAAGCTACTTCACACTATTGCAGACACTGGTCGAGCGCAGCACATAAACTACGATTATCGATTCGAAATAACAACTCAACTTGGGATCTCTTTCTTTCTGTCTGTCTCTCCACATCTGTTTCACATTTCAACTGTAATGCACAAACTTGCCGGGCAAAATAGTGATCGAGCAAAGATTTTACCCATTTATTTTCCAATCTTTTTTCTTTCGCTCGTCGCTTTTTGTCTTTAATTCCATTCATTCGCTGTGTGTGTGTGTGTGTGTCTCAGTTTCATTTTGTCGGAGGCGATTATTCGTGGTTGTGATTTACATTTTGCGCAAGAGGGATTAGTGAAACGAATTGAATCGAGTAAAAGAGATAGAGTTTGAAAGCATTATGATTGGAAAACACACGAAAATGGAAATTGAAAATGAAAATTGCACCACAACCGTCACAATTTATCCTACATTCATATTATCACTTTAGAAGAAAACAAGACCGCTTCGCTCCGCTCTGCGTTCTTGAGATTTTAGTTACTTATTCTATTTTGTTGTTTCACAACAAACTATCTTTTGGCGCACTACATGAAATGTATTTCATCAAAGTAACTTTGAAGTGATATATTTATTTGCAGAAAAAAAAAATTCTCAGTTATTTCAAAAATGAATTACAAGATCTTGGTTTTATTTCTTTTTTGAATTATACTGCCTTTGGTTTAAAATAAATAAATTATATGAGTATAGATCTAAAGTCACTTTAATTTTGTTCAAGACCCAGAAAATACTGTACCAAAAAAGCTTGAAATAATGTAATTTTTAAAAAATCATTTTATCATAAAAATTTGATTGGCGCTTTGAGATATTATGCACTTATTTGTCGTTACTGCCACTGTTTCAAATTAAATAAAAAATATGAGCATAAAATTCTAATTCACCATAATTTGTTTCAGTTTTCAAAAAGTATTAAGAAAGAAAAAACCAGATTAGTAGCTTTACATTTCATGTAGTACTAAAAACGAGTGAAGAGAAACAAATGTAGATGCAATAATCTGATTAGATTTTTAAGAGACATTCCGATGCAGAGTAGAAAGCATTAATGCGTTTATAGTGTTCAGATGTGATTTCCATTAGTGGACAAAGGAAAGGCAGACCAAAGAAGGAGAGAACGAGTTTTAATTCAAATATTCACCGTACAAATTAATAAAACCGCTTTTCTGCCGTTGCACAGCATAAGCATGCAGAGTGCGGTGGCGACGGCGGCGGATGGCCATCACCTGTAAATTTATTTACTCAAATCATTCGCTTGAATTGATATAATGTGAAATGCATTAGCGATAACCGCTTCATTGCTGATTAAATTATTAGTTGATTGTTTAAATGCACGAGCGTTAATGATCCACCTGCGTCAAATTTGTAGCCGGCAATCCATATATTAAATATGCTTATGGATTCCATATTCAAAAGCTCAACCATTTCAAATACTAAGTTAATGCTTTGCTCTGACTTGGAAGAAAAATAAAAAATATATAATGTACTGAATGAGAGAAAGAAGCCAAAAAAATGACGTTTTTTCCCCATAATTCAAGAGAAAACGATGTCATTTCACACGCTCAAACCCTTTCAACGTGATGAGATGCGTTGTCATCGGTGCCATTGTCGGTGGTTCTTGTTTCAGGGTACTTTTCATCTAAAAGCAGCCCACAATTAAAATGCATGAATAAATGATGTCAATACGATATAGTCTACTCAACACATAATGCAAGAGCACAACGACCAAAATAATGAAAGCGAAACGTAAACTGAACACAGCATCAACAACCAAATCGCTAGGATGGAGCGAGCGAGCATTTCGAGAGAGAGAGAGAAAGAGAGAGAGAGAGAGCAGAAACCATTGCAGTTTCATGAAAATCGTGTTCTAAGGCGATAATACTTTTTTTTCCTCAAAGAATAAAGCAGAAAGAGAGAAACACAGAGAGAGAAAATAAAAAAATAGTAAACCGAAAAACGAAGCCGTTAGTTTCTAGAGTAAAACACCAAAAAAGCGTCGAACAAGCATATGCAGCGGATGCTGCTGCTACTGCTGGTGCCAGTGGCTGGTTAGTTGGTTGTGGATTTTCTTTCTACTGCAAGAAAGTTATAAATGTATTTATTTTTCGTACAATGTATTTTAGCATCGACAAATTCGTCCATCCTAATACCAAAAGCTTTGCTCAGTTTTAATCCATTTGCACTTTCTATCTCATTTCCACTCCGTGTTCGCTTGTTCGGGCCCTCTCTCTCTCTCTCTCTCTCTCTCTCTCTGTTTCTCTTGCCAGACTTATATTTTCTGTCGATTTTCTTTCTTAAATTCACAACTTTGCGTCGGATAACCAACATCTTTACATGGCGCAAAATTCTCCCCGCAGCACCAACAACATCATCATCAACGAAATACACACCGAAAATATGTACGGCTTTTAGCCATCCAGGCGGTGAAAAAAAACCGCTCAGATTCCGGCTCGTTCGTTCGTTCGTTCGTTCTCACGTTGGTTCACTTAGTGTTGGGCGCGGTAATACCGTAACCGAGAAGTTAGGAAAAGGTGGAAAAGCGTAACGATCACGACTGGTACAAGTGTATGTGTGTGTGTATACCTGAGCCGGTTGTGTGTATAAATGTGTGCATATATGTATTTGCACATGTTTTCAGCAGTTAGTTTTGGAATTGAGCTACCGGATAAAGGGATTTTAAAGCGACTATGCTTATGCATTACAATAAGTAAGTATTTCGAATATGCACTTGTTTATGATTCGATTTGTTTCGCTCTCAGTCTGTCTCATTCCTTTTCCACCCTCTCTCGCTCTCTTTCTCACCCATTGCTCTTTCTTTTGCTCTCCCGCTCACTCGCTTTCTCATCTTGCGAAAATGGATTTCGGTGAGTTGAACAATTCATTGGGGCGGAAAGTCCGTATAAGATGAAAGTTTCCAATTATTCAACGGTAACTTTGGGTTTTCAACTACTTGATATTTGAATTATGCACATATATACACACACACATTCAATCGCAAACACACACACAAAGGAATGTTCGCCAATATAAAATGCAATATGCAACTTGGACCAGTCGGTGTATTAGTACGAGCTGTTTTTTGGCAAAACAAAGGCAAGCGCACAATTATTGTCGATTCGCTTGCAAACTATCAATGGAATTGGTAAAACACATTCCATGCACCAAATAAATTGAATACCTTTTCGACAAAACATTCAATCGAACGCGCCCCCCCCCCCCCCTCTCTCTCCCTCTTTCTTCCTCTTTGTGTGCACTCAAGCCAAATTTCTAGTTGTTGAACCGGTTCTTCTCTTGCAAACTTACTTTCGGTTGCCTTGTTGATTTCGAAATGAAATGAGAAAGAAGAAAAATCGAGCTGTAACGATTGAAATCAAATCATTTTAACGATGACAGACCCAAAGAATCATGTGGCAGAACCAACGAGCAACCACAGCAACAACAACATCGCACACACAAACATTCATTTGATGTTTTGCTTTCAACTTATATCATTCGAATTAGGTGCAATCTAAAACCGAAAATTGAGCGACAAGCTTAGTAAAGTATCCATGGCATTTTCTTGTTCATTTGCTTGCTAACATTAAGCTTAAGGCTTAGTTGCTCCGGATTTTCGGACAGCAGATTGTCTCTCGATTTTTTTTTCGCTTCTTCTCTTCCTTCTCCTTCGCTGTGTGAGCGTGAATTGTTGAGTTAGAGAGCGAGTTAGACTTTTTTTGAGCGAGTTGCCTGCACAACTAAAGCCAGCATATCGCCGGATAAGCATAAATATTTGATTAGTTGGTCGTAAACAATGTTTTTGGTTTGCTTTTTACATATTTTCTGGGTTTTTCTTTCTGTTCGTATTTGAACAACGACAAACAACGTCATAAATGTTCTTTTCAGTGCACACCAAAGTGAATAAAATTGATGAAGCACATAAAAGTACACACATTTACACACAAATGGGGCGGTCTCAGTGTTCGGGAAATGCTTAAGAGAGCTTTTAGCTTTTAAAATGTATCTAATTATTATGTATGAAACATTCAATTAAAAGCGAACGACTGAGAGAGAGAGAGAAGAAAAGGAATAACACACACACACACCGTGTTTACGCCCCATGAATTTTAAATCAATTTTCCTGCGTCTCGCCTTGGCAGGTGTTTTAATCTTTTAAATCACATTGCTCGCATTTTTTTCTTCTGTCGCCATCTCCAACTCTTGCTCAACTTACTCCCCCAATGGACTCGCATTTTTTATTTAGCATGTCGTTGTTGTTGCTTTTATTTTCTTCTCTGTTGTGCGTCGCTACATTGACTAACTTTGGCGTGCCGGGTTTATAATGATGATGATTTTTTTCCTTTTGTCGTTATCCTGTAAATGGGAGGACGGCACAAGTAATGGAAATGACAAAAAAGAACACAACGCATTTATTTTTAAAGAATTTATTTCGATTTCTGAATTTGTTTTTCGAGGGAACAAAAGGTTAATTTTAACATGGGCTGTATTCGGTTAATAATAGATATGATTTGTTGTTTTAAACCTAGTAGTCTACAATGCATATAAATGTAGCTGTTATTCGAATTGTTCTTTCTCTTTTTTTTCTCTCTTTCTTCTCCTTATTGTTGATGTTGTTGTTCATGTTGAATTTTGTCAAAGACATAGAGAAGAAAGATTCAATATAAAATGGAAAACAACACGAAACAAAGCAAAAGCAAAGAGTTACGTATTGTACATTTAAACAGGAAAAAAAAAAGATTCTAAAATAAATGAAACACTGACAACGATAAATATAATTTAAAAAGAGAAAAAAATAAAATAAAAATAATATAAAAGAGGGTAAAAATAGTTTCAAATTGTAATTCGTGTATGTATATATAGGCATGTGTTTGTATGGTGTGTGTGTGTATTTAAGCGCACGCTTTTGATTGCCCTCTTAACTATCTCTAGTAGTAGTGGTCGTTGAATCGAAAACACATGGAACTCACTCTTTCGCCGAAAAAAAAAGAAATAATAATACAAAATAAATGCGCTTCACACTCTTTCTCACTATTTCTTTCGCAATAATTAGCCAATTTCACATTGGATTCAGCCCCTACTTCTTCATCTTGCACAACATTTGTTTCTCTTTCAATAAACATATACTAGCTTACTATAGTATGGAATTAGACGGTATTTACAAGTAACTATTGTCGATCTATTGCCGAATTTAGAATGTATGTTGTGTGTGTGGAATGAACTGACAGTGAAATGTGTGAATAAATTGTTAAACTCCGTAACATGCCAAAAATACTCTGTTTTGGATTCGCAAATTACTTTGCATTCTCAATTTTAATGTATGCGAAGAATTTTCTGTTTTTGACTTTTTTGTCTCTATCTAACACACTTTTCATTCATTCATTCATTCATTCATTTGCAAACTCTTGCTCATTCACTCGCCTCGCAAAACTGTTACATTCCGAATAATTGACGTTAATGCTTATCAAAAATTCCACCTTTCACTCAAAATTCCGAGCGCAGCACTGTCATCCGTAGACAGATATGAAACATTCAACAGACAATCATTCTATCTATTTATCTCTCTTTCTCTATGTCGTGTGTTGCTTGTCGATTTTTGACTAAAAAATAAACTATTTTCAACTGTGACTCATCTGGGGGATGGTGGTAGCGTGGGAAGTTCGATTGTGAGATAGATTAAACGTTTTGACTAAAAATCATTTTCAATTACGAATGCAAATAATTTTGACATAAATGTTCTACATTTGGAATGAAAATGGAAGGACAAACAAATAAAAAAACAAAACTGCATCAACTACATTTACACTGTGTATCAAATAATATATAACATTAAAAAAAACATGGCCTTATTGCCTAACCATTATCGTAATGATTATTCGATGGAAATATCGATTCGATACCTATTTATTAAAAATTATTTTCGCACCACTCAACATAACAACAACATGAAATTATTATTGGCTTAATTTGAAATTCTACTGATGGCCTTTTCTGCTTGCTCGCTCGGTTTTTATTTCACTCTTTTTTGCTTCCCTGTTCATGTATGCACCGAACGCGAAAATGTTCACGTTTCACATCACATTCGAAAATCGATATTGGGTCGTCGTCGTCGTCGTCGTTGCGTTTCGCCATTAACAATTGAACAGCAGCTGGAATATGCAGATATTGTGTTGTATGATGAAGATTTGAAGAAAGCAGAGCAATTTCGGCACATCCCTAAAGTTTATATCCATTTGTGCATGTGGGTGTTTTTCTTTTCTTCTTTCGATTTGTTCGTTGGCTGTCGACGATTTTTTGCTTTCAAAATATCAAAAGTGATATGCTCTTTATTCTCTTTTTTTCTTCTTGTTCAATATATATATATTTGTTTCTTCTATTTTGCTCATTCCATATCATTTACTTGCCGCTCGGATTTCGCGACGAATTTTTTATCGATGTAACGCTAACACTGACTCGATTCGGACTGTTATTATTTTTCAGTAGATTATCGCTACTCTTTTGTGATGTGAATACGGGAATTTTGGACGGACTGACACGCGCTACATTTGATGATTGTGATGGTGGTGGTGTGGATGGTGTACTGATTTTCCGTATTGGTACTGGAATTTCCGACGTATGACTACGTTCGAAATTTGATCGAATTTGATCGATTTGTGAATGACGTTTTTCAAATTGTCGCGGCGATTGATACGTTGATGTGGTAAAACGAATCTCATTGTTCCGTGGAATGTATTCCTCTTCAACGATTACTGGTTTTTCAACACCGTCACCACCGCCACCACCACTACTACCATTGCTGCCCTTTCGGCTGTCATTTGGACTGGATGTTTTTGCATCTGATTTCGTTTTTGCATCGGGCGGGTTGCGATTTTCCATGGATTTACTTAGATTCTTTGCATTCATGTGCTTGTCTTTGTTTGCATTGGGAAAGCGGATTTCGGTGACAAAGCCACCCTTCGATGCAGGTGGCGGTTTGGTGCCATTGCTCACTGGTAACGATGATTCGTGTGTCTTTTTCGACGACAAACTCTCAACAATGAACACCTCATTTTTCTTTTGGGATCCATTTGGCGATGGGGTTTTCGTCGGTTCGCTTGGTTCATCGTCCAGTGTTTGCATTTTAAAATTCAGCGTTTCATCTTCGATGACAATTGATGCTGGCTGTGAATCACTGCTCGTTGATATTGTTATTCGATTTTCGGTTGTTGTGGTCGCTGTTTGCACCGGTGATGCTCTTGAATTTTTCAATTCAACCGCCGAATCACTATCCATCGATGAAATGCTAATATTATTCACGCCACTGCCATCACTCGAGAAAATGGGTGAAATTTGAACAGGTTCCATCGTGGCCATTGTATCGATGCTATCCATGTGACCAGCGACAGATATGTTAATTGGACCATCGTTTGTGCCACTCTTTGCATACGAAATACCATTCACTTCCATCGTTTGATCATCCATGTCGCCCGGAACCTGCTGTGCAATTAATTGCTTCAACACTTCAGACTTTGGCCGCTCAATCGTTGTCAATGGATAACGTGATGCTTTTGCATCATCGCTTACATTCGTTCCGTAATTGACACCTTTTGATGTATCAATCACAATATCATCGAAATTATCGCTTGATTTCACTTCCAAATGTACAGCTGTCGGTAATTTGATCTGTGTAATATTATGCTGTGTTTCGTCCATATCCATCGTTGTTTGATCGTTGCTGTTGCTGTTGCTGCTGATGTTGTTGCTTTCGTTCATAATGCCGTTATTTTTTGTATGCGCACGTGGTGATGGTTCTGGACTGGATTTTATCTCTATCGCTGCTTCATTATTTTGTACCAATTCCAATTGAATCGGTTCATCGGTGCCATTTGCCACATCGTCAAATTCAACGTTTGATATTTCATGCATGACATCGTGCAATTCAATTTCGTTGATTTCTTTATCAAATTTATCGGCTGCAGCCAATACTTCGGACATCATATCCATACTGCTGGAGGAGAGTTTCTTTTGTGGTGATTCCAATTCAAACGAATCATCGGATGCATTTTTATCTTTGCCATCATAAATTGCATCCTCCAAATTGCCCCATTCATATGAACTCTTTAGGCGCATCGTTTGCAATGGTTCCAAATTCTCGATAATTGGCTCGCTGTATCGGGGCTCTTTCAATTCCATCACTTCAACTAGGTCATGATCGCCCGGGTGGGCTTTTCGCTTTTTTGGTACCACCTTTCCGGTGGCGATTTGATTGTTTGCATTGGACATTTCCATTGACTGGGCTCGTTCAAGTGTTCCATTCGATTCATGACTGTTCTTTCCGCATTTAGTGTGCTCTAATTTTGATAAATCGCCAAGACTCGCCGTTCGTCGCTCTTCATTTGAATTTTCTTCTTCCTCGGACGCCTGATGCACGGTGATATGCTTGGAATTTAATTCGATTTGTTGAACATTTTTACCATTGAACTCAGCATCGGAGTCTGAAAATGATTGAAAAAGAAAATACAATGTCGATTATGTTTTGTGGAATTAAATCAAATGGAATTAATGAAGAATCAAAAGATAAATAAAGTTTAATTGGTTAAACACTTTTCTTTATCCAAAAACAAAAAAATCCAACTCACCAAGATCAGGTTGACTGCCCTCCATGCTGACTTTCATTGTTGAAATCTGTGGTATTTCAATGGTTTCCATCGAAGCATTCATGTTATCAACATTGTCCATAGAGTCATCATGTTCGCCACGGGCTGGCGGTATCGGTGCCTTCCCCTTTGACTTACGATCAATTGAATTAACTTTTGCTCGATTGTTAACGGCTGTCATTGCTGCTTGCATCATCTCTGTTGGCACTTCCTGTATGCGTCACGATCCAATAACAAAAAAAAGAAAGAGAAAACAGTCTCTAAATAAAGAAAATTGTCTTTTTTTCCAAACAAAAAAATGATTGACTTTTAAATCAACTTATAATAGCAATATCCATAACCATCATCATCATCATCATCATCATCAAAAGACAAATTTTCTATTGAATTTCTATCAACTATTTCAAATCAAGTTCATCAGTTAGCATTTGAATAAATTTGATATAAAGCAGAGCTATCAAAATTCGAATCAAAATCAATCAACTGGAATGGATTGTGATCAATGAAAGTGTGATATGTGTTTTTTTCTTCATCGTTATCTTCTTATTTTCCGTGTCAATGTGATCGAATTACAAGTTCTAAGCAAAAGCTTGAATCGAAAGAAACAAAATAGTAGAAAAAGAAGAGGCCACCATTGTTCACATACCTGTGGAATGCCAGCTGCATCACGTTTGATGCCACTCGAATTGATGCTTGCTTGTCGTTCGAATGGTACCGGTTTGTTGTCATCTTGGATGGGTTTCTTAGCGTCTTGTGACTTGTTCTTGGAACGTTTCATGGCTTCTGGTGGTGCGGGTGAAGCGATGGTGGTGGTAGCAGTGGTGACGATGGAATTTGGTTGTGCCACTTGTTCAATGTGATTTTCAATTTTTTCAATATTTGCATTGTTATCGTTGTCAGCTTGGACTTTGTTTGGTGATTTGCCCGAATCTTTGCCATTCAAATTGGGTGGCAACACACGAATACCGAATTTCATTCCCTTCTTACCACTACCAACGGCCAAATCATTCGAATGCGATGCTTTCGTTTGGAATTTCTCTTCAACCATATCGATAAAATAGTTTTGAATCTTTTTCAATGAGTTTTTCTTCTCGTTTTCCTCGTGTGCCTGTGGCAAAGCGGTGGCTGGTGACCGTGGTTTTGCTTGTATACTCTGCTGTTGTTGATCCATTTTTAGTGTTGGATATGAGTTGTCATCTTTTGTAAACAGTTTTTTTCGTGCATTACGTTCGATTGTATTCAAATCCTCTTGACTACGCGGACGATACAGTGGATGTGTCAGCGCCGGTTGGCTAGCATTTTGTGACAATACATTCGATACGGCTCCATTTGCATCGATCAATTCCAACTGAACATTGTATGGTGAAGCATAGCTTAAAATTGTAGCCGCATCCTCTTGGACAATATGCCGAAAATCGATAGTGATGCTCGTGATTTTATCACCTATTTTTTGTTTTGTTTGGTTTTGTTATTCGTGTCGAATAGAAGGGAATATGGTGATTAATTCTTTTTTCTTTTGTGTTTATGTGTGTCGTGTGCTGGGCTTTGTGTTTTCCTTTGTCACACGCGCTCGCGTCACACTAACAAACTTACCTCGATGCACAATATTGGCGGCAGGTCCCTGGGGCATTACTTTCTTCACAAAGATACCATCTTTTAGGCCGCCACAAACTTCAATGCCCAAACCGGTAAAATCGGATCCACGAAGCGGCACCAATCGCGGTATGGGCGCATTTGCATATGAATCGTCAACGGTTTTACGTTTGTCAGGCGTTTGCCATTTGTTATCGAACGGTGAAGCATTCTTATTGTTATCACCTAAACATAATGGAATATTTCCATCCCCCACGAAAAATGGTGAATGAAGTTTTGTGTGTGAGCATTTTGTTCCGTTTGAAAATCCAATTTTAAAGTGAAATAAAATTTCTTGAAATTTTTGGGAACCGCAAAGAGTCGTTCGCTTTGAATTAATTTGATAAATTTTCAATAAATACCCTTGAAAGCTGGATTATCAAATGCATAGTCCACCTTCGTTGTGTCAGCATCTTCGACCAATGGATTCGTTTCTGCATGCCGTGCATAGTTTGTTGTTGATGAAATACAGAAGCATAATGGAATTAGAAGAAAGAGAAGAATACACTGAATTTCCTATTTTGTTATGTGAAATCGAAATTGGAATGAATAACATTATCAATCGTATTGCGGTATGTTGATCTACTAAATCATCGAGTACAACATATAGGTGAGATAGATGCAATGTGGCTTTTAAGACACAAACAGATAGAGAATTGAAAACAAAAACGTCATTATCAACAACGGCAACAGCTCAACCTCCTGTTTCGACGCTGTCGTCGTCGTCGTTGTCGTTGTCGTTGTCGCATCATCAACTATTCTCTTCTTTAGAGAAAATGTTGTGTTGCAGTGTGTGTTGTGTTGCTCACTCACCGCTACACAAAATTTGTGTCAACAGCTTCTTCAACATTTCTAGTTATCAAACGAGCAGAGAGACGATATTGTGTCTCTCATTCTCTAATCAACCAGAAATTTTATTTAATGAACGTTCGTCACATTACCGTATCAGATATATCTGTGTACGAACATTCCGTTGACATTATTTCGTTTTATGAATCTGGAAAATCCACATTTTTCGTCCGTTTGCATGCAATTGCTCTCTGCCTGCTCTACTCTGCTCCGCTCTACTCGACATATTGCCGTTTGAAGTAGAAAAAATAAAATCATCCATTTCAAATTCTGGTTATCGTATGGTACTTGACAATTTGCTCCATATAATTATCAAGTGATAACGCTAAAATATCGAAATGAAATCGAACAATTCGAGGTATTTTCGCACATTTTAACATGAACTAAACAACAATACCATCGAGCATATCGAATTTTTAGCAGCCATCCATAGAGATACGTGTGCTTGTATGGAGAGAGATAGAGAGATAGAAAAAGAGAGAGAGCGAGAGAGGCGCGGTAGCGCGCGACGCAATTGTGTTCAAAAACCCACCGCGACCAAAAATCAATTAAAGCTGATTTATGAATATTATTATTCCAATTACATCAAAAACTTTTCAAATGCTCGCGTTTGTGATTTGGTAATATGGGCTTGGGCCACCCGACACCATACATACACACACACACATAAACGCTTCATAACACATCACACGCACCTCATTCGATCAACGAACGGCATTTTCGTTGTCGCCCGATTTGAGCATATATCGATGCAATCCATTGTGTACATTATTATTTATTATTTGTGAATTGAATAAAATAATAATTACGTGATTCTGAAAGCGGTTTTGTCGATTGCCATTTGCTATGCTACGTGCATATTTTCATCTGTTTGAGCGCCCGTTGCTCTTTTCTTCTTTTGATTTCGTTTGGAATTCTGAGCACACAGCGAGAGTAATAAAGAGAAAGAGAGAAAGAGTGTTCTCTTCGTCGCCATTTTCAAGAGTCTTAATAATAATTATGACTATAAACTTGATTTGTTGGGTATAATATACATTTTTGGAGTCTATTTTTGGTTCGTTTCAATTAGAACTAGTTGCGTTCGCGCGCTGCTGTTGAGTTCAACAATTCCAATTTGATTAAACAACTGGCTGCCGAATGCTTCATGTTGAACGAAGTGTGTGTGTGTGTGTGTCATAGAGATTGAATGGTGTGTCTTGTGGACATATTTTTCGTTGTTCTTTTGAAATTTGGTGTGCACGTAAAAGTCAACACGTCGAAATTTGAATAAAAGCGCGTGTGCGCTCGCTTCTTCTATTTCGTGTATGCATCGTAGTTGTGTTATTTCTTCTTATGTTATGTATGACTGAAATGTTGTTATGGTGTTTTGGTGCTCGTTTCTCGGTATATATTCTTCAGCGTGATTTCCGGTGTGGAAACGGAGTTTGGAAAGCAAAAAAAATGTGATTCGCTTTCCTGATCGTTCGTTTGTCCATTCGTTCTTCTTCTGTGCCCGATCGATAGCCCCGCCGAATATGGACCGACCGATACACACAGACATACCAGCAAATTGAATAAAGTTATGCACAACACGGAGCGCTGTGTCGGTACCAATTTAGATAAAACAGTATAATCTCTCTATTTGAATTTTATGGACGGTAAATATAAAGGCGATAGTTTTGCGAAATCGAACCAAAACAGCATGTCGTCGGGTACAATTGCGACGACGATGAGCAAATATGCGGAGCTCACTCTCTCTCTCTCTCTCTTTGTGTCTTGCTCTCCGTATGTGTTTCTGGTTATTGTGTACATTCCATTTGTTTGGCCACATACAATCGAACGTGATAGCCATGTTCACTTTGGCCGAAACCAAAGCACACTACTCTCTGTGCATCCTATCACAGTGCCAAATGTGCGATTTCATGTATTTAATGCTCATTCTCTCGCACTCTTGTAACGAACGCCATAGGGTTTGGATGTGTCTGTGTGTGCATATTTTGTACACGCAAATGCTCTTACGCTCATATGTTTGAAAATTCGGTTTTTCGCATATTTTGTGGTTTTGTGTGCTTTTTCCGGCACGATTTTTATTTTTCGTTGTTACTTCTGCTGTTTTAATTGAGCGAATGTGCGTATATACAGTTCGATTTGGACTTGATTTCGGCAACGAAGGAAAGAAAAAAAATACCCATATGTATATAGCTTATTGAGCCGAATGAACAAACGATCCAAATCAACTTGGCCCGTTTTACAACCGGTTTTTCACGAGCACGCCAGCGCATACACACACATACACACATACAATTCAGTCATCATTCATTGAGCGTTTATGCTGCGAGCGGGCGAGCTCATGTGCGCGCGCGCGCACCTTCGCGGACACCAAAAGCGCATATTTTTCTGATGTTGTGTGCTTTGCTGTTGTCGTTGTTGTTATTGTTCTTGTTGCTAAAATCTCAATCGTACTTGGTGCTTGGCCAAAATACACCGAGTGTGTATGGCTCTCCAGTGACCTGTCCATTCGGTTTTTTTTTTCTTCTGTTCGTTCGTTTTGGGCCACGGGATGATATGGTATTTCAATATGAATGATTTTCTCTTCGTTGCCATTTATTTTCGTAAACACACCGAGCGACCACAGCAAGAAATGTTGCGCTCCGTTCGCTTCTCGTTCTCTCTTTCTGTGTCTGTGTCTTGTTCGGTGTGCGTATGGCATTTTATGTTTTTGCGCGCATATACCACCAAACGACAACGACAAAGACGACGACACTGAAGAAATGGGTGAAGCGAAGAAAACAGACAGGTGTCTCAAACTTCTTAGCAAACAACTCTCGTACATATAAACACACACACAGAGAGAGAGGCAGATACACGCGCGCGTTCGCGTGTTAAAATCACCTAATGAATATAACATATGAAATCGATAACCAAACGTTTACTGATCGTTTCCAAAACTGACCGGGATGAATGATGACGATGATGATGATGAGATGGGCAAAAGAGAACCGCAGAAAAATCAATATTCCGAATAAAAGAGAGAGAGAAAGAGAAACAGAAATGAAAAGAAAAGAATCAATTTTGCATTTTTAATTTGCAGTCTCATTTCTTTATGCTTTTCTCTCTCTCTCTCTCTCTCTCTCTCTCTCTCTCTCCATCTCTCTCTCTCTCTCTCTCTCTCTCTCTCCCCCTTTTGTTTGCGTGCATGAGTTTTGTGTGTCGATTTCTTGTTGTTTTATATTTTTATTATCATTTTTCTATTTCGTTTGAAATTCTAGTGAATTGATAGCGATAGAATGGGTTAAAATTCGAAATATTCTATTACGGCGACCACCTTCTTTGCTCGATCGAGCGAACGAAGAGGCAAAAAGAAAAAAAAAACGCACACGCGCATAAAACATAAAAAATTAATTTAAATCCATTATTTGGTGTGGTGAAATTCGGCATTTTTTTCCGTAGAACTTTCCATCATTTTTGCGAGCGATGTTTGGACTTTCGTTGAAAGTTGCCCCTCATCGAAAAATTGGTTCCCATAAAAGATAATAGCAAAAACGATCAAATCTGATCGAATGCGCTCTTTTGTTCGGCTTTCGTAATGATCATATAGTCCATTTTCGCTTTCCGACTCGTCCCCGAATTTATATTGACGCGAAATGATCGAAAGAAAGAAAAAAAAATATTGGAAATGTCCCGTTTAAATGTTCAATTCACTTATGAGAATCGTTTAAATGCTACGATGTGTTTACTCGCTTACTTTTTTTTCTTTCTTTCTGCTGGTGTTTCGTCGCTTTTCGACTCGAGAGCTACTACTATCGAAGTGAAAGTAATGAGTGCGATTTCATTAAAAAATGAAATTTATGCTGACATTACGATATACGCTCGGGATAAAGCGAAAAAAAGCCACACACACACACACATACAATGTATCTCGGCGGCGGCGGCGGTGGTAGGACGTGCACAATTTGCAAAATTGTTCAATTGAAGTAACAGCAGCAGCAATAACAAAAGACTATAAAAAGCCCTATTGCGCTGAAAAGCCTCTCCCAAATTCATAAGTCGATTTAATATTCTCAAGTGGTTCCAAGAGACACACTATATTACCGATCGAGTGCGAAATTTGCCTTAAACCTATTATTTATCGATTCGAAATAATTTGTGAAACAAAACAGTGATTAACTGCTCTCTGTTTTGTTCCTCATTGAACGAGTGAAAATCAATCTTATATATACGTATATCTAAATGAATCATAACACGACAACGTTTGTTCGAATGGTTTTCGTATGTTATGTCATGGAGTGTGTGTTTGTGTGTGATCCGTTTGTTATTTTTCGATCGATCGATCGATCGAGTTGCAATCGAACGAAAAACGAACGGTTCATTGAATTGATTCGGTTTTTTTTTCGTTTCATTTACCTGACTTAGATTTCCAGTATTTCTTGTAGAGCAGCCATGCGCCCACCGCCAATAGAATGATGCATGCAATTGTACCAAAAATCGAACCAGCAACCGCTCCACCGCAACTTGCCGCTTCGTCCATTGTAGAACCAGCTTTATCCATTTTTTGGACCTGATCAACACGAAGCAATCATAAAAGATTCACCTGCTTTTTTTTCCCGCGCAACCGAGAGACAGCGAGAGCGCGCGCAACCCAAAGGAAGTGAAACGCACTCAATGATGAGATTCTGCTTGTCGGTTGCTGTTGGTTGTTTGTTTGTTTTGTTTTTCGTTCGTTCGAGGAAAGAAAACGACACGCACAATAGATATAATAATAAATATAAATAACACACACAGAAAATGCACGAACGCGCGCACACGAGCGCACAAACACCGGCGCGCGCTCTTGGTGCAAGAGAAAAAAAAACAATGCAGAAATCTCACTGATGCTTGATACTCACCCACTTTTTTTTTTCTCGTCGTGAAATTATTATCACCTCACAGTTCTTTATACTTTTTATTTCTTGTGTGTATGTTACTGCTCAACTCTTCAATTGCATGCAATCGAGTTTTCGTCTCCTGTTTCGCTTATCGTTTGCCAATGATCATACAACGCAACAAATTTTTTTTTTTCTTTCGAGAGATTTAAGTGCAATCGTTCTCATGTGTATCTTTTGGTTATTTTGTCGTTGTTGTTATTTTTTCTGGATTTTAGTTTGTCTTTTTTTTTCTTCTTTTTTTTCTCACTCACTTCAAAAACAGCAGCGTTCGTAATCCATTCGAAAATATTTTTTTTTGTCTTTAGTTTGTAGTGCAGCACAATCGCTTACATGTTTTACACCTCGTCTGTATGAATTGTGAAAATGTGCTCACACATTGAGCAAATTTGAAGCGGAATAATAAAAATGCTGCAAGAAAGAAAGAAAACAAAAATTGCATTATCAAAATAGAGTTCTACGATTTTTCGCCCGCCGTTCAGTTTGGAAGAGAGAAAGAGAGAGAGAGAGAGAAAATAGCTGTAGCAGATTTAATAACAAAACGCTTAATTTCTGATATAGTTTGACGGATGCCATAAAAAAAGAGTGCTCGTGCCACTTTGTTCGAAAAAAGGGATAAATGTCGAAAATAGAGTCGAACGAAGTGGAGTGGAAGTCGAACACGAGCGAATAAAACGAAAAAAAAACCATTGGGGGAAAAAAGCCAAAAAGCGCTGCAGGATAGCTCAATGGAGTAAAATTAAGTTGGTCATGGAACGAACGAACCGAACGACTGTTCACTGCTTATATTATGTGGATCATAAAAGTATTTGCAAGTGAATTGAACTTGCCTGAAAAGTATCGGCAATGTAATGTGCAAAAAGAAAACGAGCAGCGCACGAGAGAATGAAAAAATGAGAAGAAGCAAAAAGAAATGCAACCCAGCACACACGCAGAGAGAGAGAGAGAGAGAGAGAGAGAGAGCGAACGCGAATGCTTGAATATCGCGAAAAATATTCTGTGTGTCTTATTTTTCTTCTCTTTTTTCGTTCGCTTGTTCCATGCAAACGGCTTCAAACTTGAATCTACACGCTCCCAAAACCCATACCACATTGTGTTTGGGAAAAACTCTTTTTTATTCGTTCGTTCGTTTATTTGCTAAAGCGTGTGTGTGTCGGCATTTTTATCACAATCGCCTGAAATATTTGTGTGTGAACTTGCGACTGGCTCGACAGCAGCAGCAGCAACAACGACATACTCTCGTCCAGCCAGAATAAAGTAGCACATTGAGTGAGGCCAGAGTAGTTTAGCAACGATGACGACGACGATGATGCCGCATTTACCATTGGCCGTGTGTGTTATCTGCTCATACAGTATGCTTCTGATACATATTCGTACACTATTCGGGTTGTAAACAGCATGAAACACTGTGCAAACGGAATATACGTGTGTGTGTGTATATATATAGAGAAAATGTAAACCAGAGCCAGATTCCGAGCCACTCTTCAGCCACATACTTGGTAAAATTCATCCGCCATGTACACAACGATTGTGTGTGTTTATATACTTTTTGGATGAACCACATTTCATGCCATTAGCAACAAACGAACGAACGAAAAAAAAAACACAAACGAACAGAGGCCAATCGGCATGCACCTTCATTTTCACAATTGTGTGTTAATGTTATTATAAATATAAACATGCGGAATATCTAAAATAAATGTTACAATTTTCACAGCAGAATTTTTGCTCACTTGTACACCCAAACACACAAACGTGTACACATTCTAGCTTCTTTGCTTTTGATGTGGAATTAAATGTAATCCATCGGATGTGGATTTGCTACATGTGAATATATCTCGTACAATTCGAGAGAAACATGCTACACACGAAGGTGGAATCACAGAGAGTTCCGATGTGAAAATTACCAGATGCCTTTTAATCATTTTGTACTTGCTGCGCTACGCACACACACACACACACACCAAACTGGAAAGTCAATGCTCACCAAATGGGAATTAACTTAATTTCGATGGAAAATCTCTGTCTCACTGTTTTCTCCGTACACACAATCGTTCGTTCCGTGTTCATTCATTCATTCACCCGAACAAAAACAAAAACAAACAAGCGCACACACAAACACGAACAATTCACAGTCAACTATTACAATGTATATCAATGCAACTTTCGTTTTCGACCTGTTTCTAGCTGCAACAGAATATGTTTGTCGACAATCTATGTGCAATACAATAGAATGTGTAAGACATACTAACATACACACACACACACACACACACACACACACACACACAATATGTTGTAACAATTGATCCGTTCCCTTTGATTGCATTGATACGACGGCTAAAAACAACCACATCACATTGCCTAGCACATGGCATTCTATCTCTGTGTGTGATTTGTTCAAAGACAGTTTTGCATTCAATTGGGCCAATACGAGCCGAGAATGTCGATAAAATGTCAAGAAAGTTGGTCAATATCTAGCCAAACATTTACAGTTTGGATGCTGCCATCGCTGCTCCTGCTGCTGTTGCTGCTGCTACTTTCCTTTCAAATGAAAATCGAAGTGCGTTTGCCAACTCAACGTTGGAGGCTCCAACTTGGAGCATCAAAAGCACATTGACTGTGTTCGAAAAGACTTTGCTTGGTTTCGTCCAACACACACACACACACACTCTTTACTTTGTTCGTTGAAAACTTTGAAAGTATGTACACAGTTTGTAACTTACGCTCAATTACCAACATTATTTTTGCCTGATATTCAATGGGAAAATTCAACAAGAAAAACCGAACACCACATTAAATAGGCAGATGAACCTTATGAACTGGTCTCAACCAAAACCAATGTGACCTTGACAATGGATTCTATCTCATTCACCTCTCGTCAATGTGACCGATATTATGGTGGCATTTATGGTCAAAATTGGATTACATTCAGTTTGTAACAACCGCACACCACTTGTTTTCCATATTTAGGACAATTTTCCGCCAATTTGCTCGAATGCGCCTTTTTACAGTGGTTTTGCAAATGGCTGTTTTTTTTTCAGCGTTGTTGCTGTGATTGTTCATGTTGTCGGATTCGGTTCGTCGAAGCGGTTTTATATAAAGATTTGAAATGAATTATTGAAGATTTTAAATTGGAAACGGCTGTTTGTTAAAATTCCCATGAGATCAATTTCATACAGCAAAATCTATTAAAACCGCAACAATTCCCACGAAAATGAAAAAAAAAGCAAACAAATACTCGTGGCTGCACACATTTCAATAGCTTTTAAATTTGAATGGGGAATTTTTGTGTTCCGATATAAATTTATATGTGTGATATTTTTGTAGAGACACTTGAACGACAACAACAAAAAAAACAGAAAAAAAACATCAATCGATAAATTGCTTCGTATTTCCATTTATCGGTTTGAAAATGATGCTGGTGAATGAAACGAAACGAGCTACGCAGTGGCTGGTGCGGGTGAATTGAATAACAATACACATTCGATCAATAAATGTGTAAATATAGATTAAAAGGTGGGCTAAAAACCGAAAATCAAATGGCGAGATAATTCGTTTAAAAATAAGCTAATCGCATAGACGTTCTTTCACTTTTCATCGCTTCTTTGAAATCATCCGCATGCAAATCCAAAAAGCTGCGGAAATTTCGGATGAAAGTAATTCTTTAGATATGTAGGCTTATAAATAAATTATACGACATGCTAAAAACCATCAATCTAAAATAGCGAACAACATTGAGATAAAAAAACAATCAATGGAAAAAGCGGAAAAAGAAACAATGTGCATATCTCGAAGAAGCGAAGAAAAAAAAGAATCAAAATGAGCATATATATTATTATTTGTTTTGTGTGACTGGGTGCGAGCGAGCGAGCTGGAGCTAGAGCTAGAGCGAGAGATGGAGATGTGAGCCATGTGAATGAAAGTTTCGTGGAAAGGTGCGTATTTTCACTTTTTCGTCGAACGACACATAGAGATGCAAACGAAAGAAGTAAACAATAAGGGCGACCGATACTACAGCACGATCGAAATGATGTAAAGTGAAAATTCTCTCTCTCTCTCTCTCTCTCTCTCTCTCTCTCTCTCTCTCTCTCT